TTGCAGGAATTTCAAGAGAAACGTTTTAATTCATATTGATATCTCTGACTTCTGACTGTAGATGCTGGCATCTTGGCAAATCTGTGCAGAGTTAGACATATCTTCTGAAGCTAGAAGACATGTGAGTCTTTTTCTCAGGAGGAACATCTAAAAGTCTCCATAACATCTTTGCTGTGTAGAAACAATTAAGATATTATCTCTTTTTTTTCTGTTTCTGAAGCTAGAACAAGGAGGGATATAAGAAATAGTGAAAACATAAAATAATTTTTTTTTCAAAACTCGAGACTTAAATGAACTCAACATTGGATTAGATGTTTCTCCTATCATTCTGCATTACAGTAAGAGAAAAGAGTTGTACATGAATGTGGACAGCAGTTCAGGTCAGTGCAGGTCTTGCAGGAATTTCAAGAGAAACGTTTTAATTCATATTGATATCTCTGACTTCTGATTTTTTACAACCCTTAATTGACACTATACAGTTTAAAACCCTGATTTATATGATTTTTGTTATTTTCTAGCAATAAAAATGAAATAAACACTGCAATCTTGAGTTAAAAAATGAAATCTTGAGTTATTGATTTAAATGAGAAAATGAATGTAAAATACCAGAATGTTATAGGGATATTATCATTAGCTAAAACTAAATCTAAAACCATAAAACATTGAATTTTCAATTGAAATAAAGTAAACTTTAGCTCAAATAAAATATATAAAAATATATTTTATTTAAGCTTGTTGCCAAGGCATCATGTCTCAAAATTTTATTTAGTTTAACTTGATGTACTAGAATAGCTAAAACCGAAATAAAATTCATTAAAACTACAAAGACATTTTAAAATTAATAGAAAAATTTAAATAGACATTAATAGAATTTAATAGAAATTATTATTATTTTGCTTTTAATTACCTTTTAACTTTTTTACAATTCATCTAAACTGAAAGAAAATTGGTGTAGGGTTTACTTTGAATTTACATTGAATTTATTGATTTTATTGATGTAAAATTTTCAGTCAGAATTTGATAGTGAATTACACAAATAATTACATGCCAAGTAACACACTGAATAAAACATGACATTTTGAAGTAAAGATAATGAAATAATAATAATATTTATTTGTAAAACCTTCTCCAGTAATAATGTTTTACTTATTGCTTGGTGGTTAATTACTGGCCCGAATCAAACGAATCTACTCTAAAGTATATTATATATAATATTATTATTATTTATTTATTTGTTTTATTTAACTACCTTTTAACTTTTCCGCAATTTACCTAAACCTGAAGAAAATTGGTGTATTTACTTTGAATTTACAGCGATGTAGAATTTTCACTCAGAAATTGCTAGTGAATTACACAAATAATTACATGGCAAGTAACACACTAAAAAAAAAAACATGACATTTTGAAGTAAAGAGAATGAAATAAATAATAAATAAATATTTAAAATTAAAAAAAAAAATTTTGTGTGTAAAGCCTTTTCCAATAATAATTATCGCTAGGTGGTTAATTACTGGCCCAAATCAAACGAAACCTCTCTAAAGTCTCTATGCTATGACCTGTCCTCTTAAACCACGATTTGAGGAATTATTCATGCAGGACTATTTGCCTTTAATACTTGACTTTAGGCTTGGACAGACTTATGTTTTTTATGTATATATTTTATGTTTTATGCACAGGATCAAGCCCCTCTCAGATGCGGTGGGAGACCTTTATAAGCAGTTCAACACTCTTAAGGAGAACCTGGCGAAGCTGACCAACAAGTTTGACAAGATAGAAAGCTTTGTGGACGAGATCCAAGCAGGAAAATTTCCCAGGCCAAAACTTTGGATGCCGCCAAGACTCCCTGCCAGGAGAATCCCACATCAGATGCCAGTGAAAAGTCCTGCAAAAGTCCCAGGTAAATCAGTGTGGGCTCAGAGGAGAGCCAGAAGAGGTCCTGGTACTTAACAGACTACAGTAAGTCCGGAGAGGCAGCTGATCAGTACGGTGGCCGAGAAGTGCAAAGCAAATCACAATTCTGAAAGCAAAATAACAAATTACAAACGCAAATGCAAGTCTAAAAAACAAAATAACAATTCAGAAAGCACAGCAAGAATTCAGAAAACATTATAACAAGTCAGAAAACACAATGACAAATCCGAAAACAAATGAACAAGTCAGAAAACACAACGACAAATCAGACAAACCGGAAGAGGTAGGTATAGTTTGAGACAGCGCCATTGGTTTGGGATTACTCACCGCTGACTGGACGAGACATCTGTCAATCAACGTATACAGGGAAGAACCAGCCGAAGAACAGCAGAGTCGTGGTAGAAAGTTCGGAGATGGTATTAAAGTAGCTCAGTTTAAATGTATTGTATGAATTGCCCTTACTATGGAATAAAAAATACGGAGTATATATTTACATTTAGTTAAAAGTGGATGTAAAGCATCAGCTCCAGTGGCGCAGATGGATAAGCGCATGTCGTTGGCTTTTTGTCGCGATCGACCCGGGTTCGATCCCGCCTTTTGCCGAACTTTTTTTTCCTCCCTTTTCAAATCTCGTATTAGCAATGGATTCTATTTACACTAAGTGAAAAAAGCAGTATTTTTAGCAATATGCTATTCGATCACGCCTTTTGCCGAACTTTTTTTTCCTCCCTTTTCAAATCTCGTATTAGCAATGGATTCTATTTACACTAAGTGAAAAAAGCAGTATTTTTAGCAATATGCTATTTACACTAAGTGCAAATACCTATTTACACTATGTTAAAATAGCAGGATTTCTACTATCAAGTATACTACTTGTTGCAAATAGTGGCAATTATCTGCACTTCAGTATTGTAGTACATTATAAAACAGTATGCAATAATATTTTGTGTGTAAAGCCTTTTCCAATAATAATTATCGCTAGGTGGTTAATTACTGGCCCAAATCAAACGAAACCTCTCTAAAGTCTCTATGCTATGACCTGTCCTCTTAAACCACGATTTGAGGAATTATTCATGCAGGACTATTTGCCTTTAATACTTGACTTTAGGCTTGGACAGACTTATGTTTTTTATGTATATATTTTATGTTTTATGCACAGGATCAAGTCCCTCTCAGATGCGGTGGGAGACCTTTATAAGCAGTTCAACACTCTTAAGGAGAACCTGGCGAAGCTGACCAACAAGTTTGACAAGATAGAAAGCTTTGTGGACGAGATCCAAGCAGGAAAATTTCCCAGGCCAAAACTTTGGATGCCGCCAAGACTCCCTGCCAGGAGAATCCCACATCAGATGCCAGTGAAAAGTCCTGCAAAAGTCCCAGGTAAATCAGTGTGGGCTCAGAGGAGAGCCAGAAGAGGTCCTGGTACTTAACAGACTACAGTAAGTCCGGAGAGGCAGCTGATCAGTACGGTGGCCGAGAAGTGCAAAGCAAATCACAATTCTGAAAGCAAAATAACAAATTACAAACGCAAATGCAAGTCTAAAAAACAAAATAACAATTCAGAAAGCACAGCAAGAATTCAGAAAACATTATAACAAGTCAGAAAACACAATGACAAATCAGACAAACCGGAAGAGGTAGGTATAGTTTGAGACAGCGCCATTGGTTTGGGATTAATCATTGGTTTGTTATTAATGTTATTTTGTTTTCAAATTTGTCATTGTGTTTTCTGACTTGTTATAATGTTTTCTGAATTGTTGTTGTGCTTTCTGAATTGTTATTTAGTTTTTTAGACTTGCATTTGCGTTTAATTCAAATTATTAAATGGATGCCACCTTATTGGGACAATAAAGCCCTCCCTACATCTAGCCTAACCCTACCCGATACTTTATTTTCAACGTTTCAATTATTTCTTTCATTTTTTTTTTTAAATAAGTGCCTTGCCAATGTGATACGGGATTTGAAAAGGGAGAAAAAAAAAGTTTGGCAAAAGGCGGGATCGAACCCGGGTCGATCGCGTCAAAAACCAAGTCTCAAACTATACCTACCTTTTCCGGTTTGTCTGATTTGTCGTTGTGTTTTCTGACTTGTTAAAATGTTTTCTGAATTCTTGTTGTGTTTTCTGAATTGTTATTTTGTTTTTTAGACTTGCATTTGCGTTTGTAATTTGTTATTTTGTTTTCAGAATTGTGATTTGCTTTTCACTTCTCGGCCACCGTAGATCAGCTTACTGGATCTGGAGACATAATCATGATGCTTTTCTAATAGTAGCCTGCTTAAACCAGAGATAAGCCTGTCATGTTTAAAGGAATAGTTCACCCAAAAATGAACAACTGCTGAAAATTTACTCACTCTTAGGCCATCCAAGATGGGTTTTTTTTCTTCATCAGAACAGATTTGGAGAAATGTAGCATTTCATCACTTGCTCACCAATGATGGATCCTCTGCAGTGAATGGGTGCCGTCAGAATGAGAGTCCAAACAGCTGATAAAAACATCACAATAATTCACAAGTAATCCACACCACTCCAGTCCATCAGTCAACATCTTGTGAAATAAAATGCTGCATGTCTGTAAGAAACAAACACATAATTTTATCTTCAAACCTTTACTTCTGGCTAAACAAATGAGTCCTCTATCCATAATACTGCCTTCTCCAGTGAAAAAGTCGTCTGGTCTGAATCAGGAGAGAAATATGCACAGATCAAGCACAGTTTACAAGCGAAAACAGTCCAAAACAGATCTAAACAAACAGATGTATTGTTGAAAGGACAACAGGAGATGAACTTTTCACTGGAGGAAGCATTATTATGAATTATGGACTTGTATTTTGGCCAGAAGCGATGGTTTAAAGTTAAAACATCTTGATTTGTTTCTTATAAACATGCAGCGTTTTATTTCACAAGATGTTAACTGGTGGACTGGAGTGGTGTGGATTACTTGTGGATTATTGTGATGTTTTTATCAGCTGTTTGGACTCTCATTCTGACGGCACCCATTCACTGCAGAGGATCCTTTGGTGAACAAGTGATGAAATGCTACATTTCTCCAAATCTGTTCTGATGAAGAAACTAACTCATATACCACCCATCTTGGATAGCCTGAGGGTAAGTATATTTTCAGCAAAATTTTTGTTTTTGGGTGAACTATTGCTTTATTACAGAGCACATTCTGGGATTTACAAGGTTTTATATTACAAAATATTACAGACTTACCTACGTCATAAACTGACTGTATGGGACATACTGCTTATGAAAGGAACAATGGGTTATTTGTATAGTATGAAGGAGTTAGACATTTCTGTATGCACAAATGATTTAGAAATATTGCGAAAAATTTATATTTGATCATATCACAAATACGCTAATCTTTTAATATTAGAGATACAACAGTAGTAAATATGTGCTAATTTTGAGTTAAACTGAAAAAAATAGCAATTTTCAACAGTTCTTATGTATGATATGATGTATTAAATATTGAAATGTTTACTTTTTTTCCTCTTTTGCTCATTCACAAGAGCTTATAATGTGCATGTAAATACTGTAAACATGGATTTGTATTGCAAATACCCACAAGTATGTGTGTATGTTTTAGCATGTTTATCAAGACACATTACTCAAATGCAATTGAAATAATAAGCATATCAGTGCATCTCACTGTTGCATGCTATAATAAGCTAGTTAACTAATTAAAAACAATAAACATCAGCTCACGATTACTATTACTGTGGTTTAAAAAAAAAAATACACCAGTGTTGAACAACTTAAAAAGCTGAATAAAATGATATTTCTGAAATATTTCTGATGGACCGTGTCCGATGTCTGAACATCTGAATGCGTTTATTGCATTTGTTGAGTTTCTGCCTAAATCTAAACATGAATATATCATTTGACTTTCATGAAAGCAGATGTGCTGGATGAAAGAAACCATCGTTCATTCTTTCCACAAGTGTTTCTTATATACGATGCTGTAACTAGCAAAACAATATTCTTACAATATTTCATGCTACATGCATAAGATTAAACAGTTTCTTTATGTTGACAATAGGAATTGTTATTTTGCATGTAAATGTGTCTTGTCTGAATAAGGATAATCTTTATATAATAATGTGTGTTTTTTTGTTGTTGTTTTTTTTACAAATTCATGCAACAGCTGTCTGAAGTCTTGATTGATGTAACATTCTTTGTATGGTGTTTGGTTTGAAATAAGCTTTGAAGTTTGAAATGAGAATAAATGGTCAGTGTCAGTCTGGTCAGCTGTGACTGCTCTCCCTCAGTTCCCCATCTTTATAAGAGCGCCATCATCTGGACAGATGGAGTAATTAATACAGTCAGAAGTATTATTCATGGACTCACGTAGATTAAGCATCAGTAAAATGTGACTTATTCAGCCAACCAGTTAAAAAGTTTACATCAAGAAATATGTCATAATATAGCAAAATATTTATGCCAGATAGTGTAAAATAATTACTTTACCTCATTTTTTAATAAAGAAAGAGGCCATTCCAATTATCTTGAAGAAATGTTTAAATGATTATGCACCCCAATATGAATAAACAAATAAATACATACATACATACATGCATGCATACATAGCCTATGAATTTAACGCGTGGGTAGACAGATGTTTTACATTCTTTTTAAACCGTATGACACTCCAATTTTGTATAAAAATGCTCTCAGTCGACGGTCCTTTATTTTGAATTTTTTCCAAAACAGGAAGTTGTGGTCCTGTGCTCTGTTTGGCTGTACATTTCGCTACAGTGAAGGTTAGTTGGTTGTTTCGGAGTGTTGTAATTTTTTCAGTGCATGACTGTGTGACTATCTGTCTGTGTTATAAATATTTAGTAAAACTAAGGTCCTTGAGATCCAGAGATATTAATGTTTCTCTATCTTTATATGTATGAATTGTTTTTTTTTTTTCACTGATCCTGTTCATAATGAACCTTTTAGCCATAATATGTGTGAAAAAGTCCCCTACACGTTAACATTTGAGTTTGCTGTACAACTGAGAAGACAATTATATGTCAATAAAAACACACGTCAATGAAATGACTTAATGGCTTTACCAAAAATTATTTTGTTGGTGTAAAAAAGGAAAAAAATACGCCCAAGTATTACATAACTAAAATTGTGCCCACGTTGTCCATATCTCATGGTAATACATCAAGTAAAATCTATAAGTGTTTGTTATAAGTATATTATAACTTTATATCATGAGTAATTACACTTAGATTCAACAGCATTTTTCATGAAGGTGTTCTAACCTGTTACCGGATCCCCTATCTGCTCTGTCAAAACATTAAACTGTACAAACCAGTGCTAGTTGGGCTGATAGTGGTGCAATATTAGTCTCTGATATACTTATTGCATCGCTCATCATGTTGAGTGACACCAGCAACACACAAGCATCTGTTAGGACTCTTCTTCATCAACTAGCAATGTAGTAAAATAATAAATGGTGTCATTCCTGTAATTAAATACCCTGAAAGTCTGCAATTTAACCTGATCACTCAAAAATAAAATGAAATTGAATTTCGTCAGGTCCAAGCCTGTAGCTTAAACCACTAAGCCACTTTTCAGGAAACAGGTATCAACCTATTATTCAGGTGTGTGCAATATGCAGACGTTTATCACATAATACTTGTTTCTTACTAATTTTGTTACCTGTTTTTGCTCAAGCAAGTCACACTTTCTCCCAAAATATGATGCATTTTGTAGCATTTTTACTTTCAACAACAATTTGTAAGGTGAAGAAGTCTTTTATTATCCCTTAATCAGCAGAAAAAAACTGGCATAACGACATGATTCCTGTCATCCTTTGAGCCAGATTACAACTATTTGTTCAATTATCAGACAATTTTTACATGTATGAATGATTCTGAAGAAATTATTTTATGCCTAATCCTGTTTTCCACTTTTTTCACTAATTTCCAGATTGTAAGTTATGATACATTTTGACTTCTTTTTGTCATTCTTCAAGTCTTCATTCAGATTTTGTGAAAAAACTGTATGTGATGTAAAGATTTAATAATATTTTTTAACTCATCATCAAATTAGGTCATATTAGGCAAATCAGGCTGTGTAAATGTAAAATATGATGTATAAAATATAATGTGGTCATACAGTTCTTATTTCTATAGCCATGGAAGACAACATACAAGAGGAAGTCCTTTCGCAGTTCTGGGCGGCTGGCAGATCCTGCAGCTGACGGCGGGCACGGGTTTGGTGGTCTATGCCGTCTGGGCAGGGATCCTCATGTCGGGGTTTCACCGAGTGCCTCTCAAATTACAGGTGAGATCTGAGGAGTGTGTCTGTGTTAATGCTGCTCATAGGGAGAGGTTTATAAGCCTGTAACTGCTGCTGTGTTCCAGCGAGCAGAGCTCAGGTGAGTAACGTCATGACTCTGCTGAAGGGCCGATCTGGAGGCATCGCTGACCTGGGCTCAGGTGACGGCAGGATTGTGAGTGATCCTCTTACTTTTCTTTTTTTTTTAGTGTTTTGTAGGTCTATTATACTCACCAAGGTTGCATGTAATTTAATCAAAAATACAGTAAAAACAGTCATATTGTGGAATATTATTACAATCTAAAACAATTATTTTATATTTGAATATATTTTTAAAATGCATTTTATTCCTGTGATCAAAGCTGAATTTTCAGCATCATTACTCCAGTCTTCAGTGTCACGTGATCCTTCAGAAATCATTCTAATAAATACAGTAAAAACAGTCATATTGTGGAATATTATTACAATCTAAAACAATTATTTTATATTTGAATATATTTTTAAAATGCAATTTATTCCTGTGATCAAAGCTGAATTTTCAGCATCATTACTCCATCCAGTCTTCTCACGTGATCCTTCAGAAATCATTCTAATATGATGATTTGCTGCTCAAGAAACATTTCTTATTATCAATGTTGAAAACAGTTGTGCTGCTTCATATTTTTGTGGAAAAGAACAGCATTTAAATGCAAATGATTGGTAACATTATGATTGCCTTTACCATGACTTTTGATCAATTTAATGCACCCTTGCTGAATAAAAGCATTAATTGATTTTTAAAAAACCGACCTCAAACTTTTAAACAGTAGTGGTCGTGCTTATTTCTTTGTTTTAATCGTGTGCAGGTGTTAGAAGCGTGTCGTCAGGGTTTTTCTCCAGCAGTTGGTTATGAGCTCAATCTCTGGCTTGTTCGTCTTGCAAAAAAACAACACAGAAGTGTTTCATATCGGCGAGAAGATTTGTGGTAGGTATATCTAAACACTCAAAATACTATATTAAACTATACTATTTATTATATTGTATGGTATAATTATGTTTAATATACAGTATATATATATATATATATATATATATATATATATTAATATAATTTAATTATATATGGTTTATATTGAATTAAAAATAATTACACATCTTTAATTTATTATATTATTTTATATTTTTATTATATTTTATAAATGTGTGTGTGTATATATTGTTAATTATATATAAAACAATTTTATTTAATAAAAATACATGTAACTGAATAAATTATTAATGAAATTAAAAATTTATAAAATAACATGCACATGTATTATATACACATGCACAATTTTATTATATAAAATACTATATTTTAAAATATATTTAATATATTAAATTTATCCGCCTCTAAAACAAACTTACAAATGATGTAAGACAGACAGTTCAAATAAAATGTAAAATTATTTAGAAATAATATTACTGATAATATTGCAGTCTAACAATGCCCACTTTTCACAATCGAATGGACAAAATCCTGCCCTGAAAACACTGTTTCAGTAGAAATTACATCATTTTTTAGATGCTACGTTCAGCGCAAATGTAGTTTAGATGAGATAGTTACAGAGAAGTTGACAGATGAGGGGTGTATGTGGACGGCTCCATCACTCTTGGTCATGAAGCGCAGTTCCTCTGCTTTAGGCTGCATCTTCATAGCACCTTTACTAGTGAGCTTGTACTTCCCCTGAGGAGATCTCACCTAAACAAAACACAGCATGTTTTACACACATTCACATTAATCATCTTACACACTAGAGAAATTTGTGCACTGACCTGGACTACATTAGGGTAGAGAGCTGCGCACAGCATGGCTGACATCAGCTTTGTGTTACCAGAGTTCAGGTTGGCCTGTGGGGGACAGAAAAGCACTGGTGTTAAAAGAACAGGTCACATGCTGGGAGTTCATACTAATGGGTTTTATCATTATTTTTAGTTTATATATCTTGTATAGATTTTACCCAACAGTCTAAATATTACATATATAGTGTCAAAAACCATTCACTGTCTGGAAGACTATTTTACCCTAAATTTACACATCAACATTATAAACCAAAAAATATTAAGTGATATTATATTATCATAATATAATATATTATATTATAGATATTATCTTACACTATCCTAAATTATCATACAAATGATCATTTCTCATACAGAAGCAAGATATGATTGATACACAATATTGTGCATAATACCTGTATGTGTGTTTCCAGGTTGATCTCTCGACATATAAAAATGTCACAACATTTCTAGCCCCTAGTGTGGTATGTACCACAGTGATTCCTAAATCATTTATTATGATTTACAATGAATGCAATCAAAGACTTTAATCAATCAGTTAATGCGTTTGCATTATATTATTGTGTCCTCATATACCTTGTATTGTGTGCTTATCAGTTAAGTCTTTTACAAAAGAAGTTACTGGCTGAGCTGCCTGAAGATGCTTTGATTGTGGCGGGACGTTTTCCGTTTCCTGATTGGACGGTGTGTAAAGTAGAGGGTGAAGGTGTGGACAGAGCGTGGGCCTATCACATACAAGAACTGAGACATCGCTACCAGTCACAAGATAAACATGAGAAAACCAGCTGAGAAACATTGAAAACCTCTGCTTTCTTATTATTTTATATTCATTTTATCATGTTTATGGAATTATATAGAACGTTTTTAAAAGATTTAAGCTGTTAAATCATGTTTTGTTGTGCTCTCACTCTTCAGGTAAACATAAGATAAGATATCAAAAACAATGCTGCTGTCTGTGGGTGTTCATTAAAGGGTTCGAACCCATGGATCACTTCCTGTTTCTTGATGTGACCTAGATAATGTTATGTGTCCAATATTTCTCTTTTACAGAAAAAAGGAAATGAACCACATTTATTGTGAGTCATCTTATTGAATGTGCTGTTTTGCAAAAAGTGCGTGTTTGTAAATGTGTCACTCAATCTGCAGTCTTACTCAACATGTGCTTGAGTTGATGGGTTGCATAATGTGAAGCCGTTGAGCAAACCACAATAAACCACCAGAAGCAAGAGAATGGCAAGCTCTTCCCTTTCATCTTCAGAAATAACAGACGGTCACAGACTGATTCTCACAGTTCAAGAGGAACATCTACAAACAGAAACAAAAAGTAACAAAGCTTTTGTGTCGGTTATTTGGCCTATGCTGATTTTTACAAAGCAGAGTGGCTGATGTGATGCAGACATACTGTATATAATACATTTGGTAACACATTACTTAAAGCCTTTATGCATAATGCATTATAAATGCATTAATTATGCCTTGTACTGCACCTTATAATGCATTGTACAATCTCATGAATAACACAGTTAATACATCATAACACTTATCAATTCATTGTTACACTATGCATTTTAAATTCAGTTATAATTATTGACAACAAGATATAATGTATTACAACGCACATTATTACTAATTATAAGGCATTATACCCTTTAATAACCCGTTATAATGCATTATATACAAAGGCGGTAACACTTTACAATAAAGCTCATTAGTTAACATGAACTAAGAATGAACAATACATCTAGTCAAGTCAAGTCACCTTTATTTATATAGCGCTTTTAACAATACAGATTGTGTCAAAGCAACTGAACAGCATTAATTAGGAAAATAGTGTCAATAATGCAAAATGACAATAGTAAACACTCATTTTTCAGTTAAAGGCAGTTCATCATTGAATTCAGCGATGTCATCATCCAGCTCAGTTCAGTCTAAATAGTATCTTTGCAATCATTTGCAATCAAGTCAACAATATCGCTGGAAATGAAGTGTCCCCAACTAAGCAAGCCAAAGGCGACAGCGGCAAGGAACCAAAACTCCATCGGTGACAAAATGGAGAAAAAACCTTGGGAGAAACAAGGCACAGTCGGGGGGCCAGTTCTCCTCTTGCCAGATGAAACCAGCAGTTCAATTCCAGGCTGCAGCAAAGTCTCATTGTGCAGAGGACTCAAATGGCTCCTGTGGTCTTGTCCCGATGTTGACCAACAAAAGAGAACATTATAACCTTTTTTACTCCACAACACCAGTCAAATGCTTCCTTTTGTGATCTGATGTGGCTTCTTGT